GCACTGCCGTCTATTGGACTGCAGAAAGATACTAACTTTTCAATCTGCTACGTTACTGAGTCTGACAAACTATGCTGACACGCCGCGTCTGCGCCGCAACAGGACGCGACAAAGCGACCATTGAAAATAATTTGAACTTTGTGTCAGCATGTCATAAATAGAACGAGGCATCAGTTTACTGTCGGGATTTGTCATGTTGCGTCGCGCTGCATCTAGTGTAGACAACATCACTGATTATAATGGGTTCTATTGTATTTTGTTGCGCCGCTCACGTCCGGTGTAGAAACCCAGTTAGGAAATGAGTTCTGGTCTGCGGCGCGGCCGGTACAAACACCAGCATTGACTGAGTGGCCGCGATCAGCTCCGGTGGCCGTGGAGCCGTAATGCGCCGCAGATGCGTGCTGTGTTGTGCAGATCAGCTCTAGTCTCTAACGTCACTGAATCTGCTGTTAAAAATAAACCATCCATTCATCATATCATCATGCAAAACTAAGAATTAGAATCATTGTAATGTGACGATCAAATATAGGTGCGGGTGGGTGGGTGGTGGACGGATAATTTATTTGAAGCAGTGGACTCGGGTGAAGTTTGAGCTCATCCGCGCATCTCTACACTACAGTGACCTGGGTCCAGTAGCAAACAACGGAGCGCACTCTGCTGGACAAACTAAGTAATTACTCCATTCAGAAGCATTTAATCTGCGTTGTATGTTCTGTAAAAAAAAATTAATATCAGCGGCATATTCACAGATACCGATATATCGGCGACAGGCTCATATCGGCTGATAATATCGGCAAAACGATATATCGGTCGGGCTGTTAAATACAGCAGCACTGACCCAAAAATAAAAACTCTGCTGATTAACTCAGGTCTGACAGGTTTGTAATGACATGAGAGTGAGTAAATGATGACATGAATGTAAGTCTGCCCTCCCTGAAGTCCCTATGGTGATTCAATAACAATTATGTAAAGGATGGTCAGTTTACAGCACTGTACAACACACATGCAAATTGCTCTGGGGAACATAATGTGGTCCTTTCTCATCTTCCCGCAGTTATAATGCTATTAAAGCGTACACACGGGAGGGACGGCAAACAGAGCTGAGTGCTGGCGAACACCTGGTGTCTGCAGCGGAGGCAGGTCAGTTTGAGAGAAGAGCCACCTGTGAGCTTGACAAACTAAACACGGCTAAATCTGTAGCTCAGCTATGAGACTGGAGCAGCTGGAATGTCAGAGACCTTGGAGACTCTGAATTACTTTGTTAAACACACATTTTGTGCACAATTCCCCTGTGTGACAAAGAAGCACACATCAGAAAGAGTACTTATTATGAAAGCAATATAATATAAAAATGTGTATTCTTAAGTGCAAATTTAATGTATTGTTTTCTTAACTGCTTTTTATTTACATTTAAATGAAAATGTATTTGGTTAAATTGATATTAAATGCAAATATAGTTCTTTTTTAACCCACTTAAGTAGGACTTAAGTACGTCTCTGTGTGTAATTACATTGTTCATATTTCTATTGTCTTTGAAATATGGTTAAAGTGTACTGCTGAATGTACTGGCAAGCATTTATGATATATTTTAGTGTAATTTCTATTGAAACTTGTGTCATTTATTTAAATATATTTGTAATTACACATTTATACGTAAATGCTGATGACGTAATTTACTGGGTGACAAAGACCCGGCTGGTGCTGCAGTACAATGCAGACCCTTCACGGAAGCAGTACAAGGGAATGATGGACGCCCTCGTGAAAATATACCGTCACGAGGGTATCCCGGGACTATACAGGGTACATCTACAGATTTTAAATTAACCTGAGATCCTGTTACAGGTGTAATAGAGCTTTGATGTGTGCTGATCTCAACCTTAAAGTCAACGTGAAATTAAAAAATTTTCCCAATTACTTTGTTAAACACACATTTTGTGCACAATTCCCCTGTGTGACAAAGAAGCACACATCAGAAAGAGTACTTATTATGAAAGCAATATAATATAAAAATGTGTATTCTTAAGTGCAAATTTAATGTATTGTTTTCTTAACTGCTTTTTATTTACATTTAAATGAAAATGTATTTGGTTAAATTGATATTAAATGCAAATATAGTTCTTTTTTAACCCACTTAAGTAGGACTTAAGTACGTCTCTGTGTGTAATTACATTGTTCATATTTCTATTGTCTTTGAAATATGGTTAAAGTGTACTGCTGAATGTACTGGCAAGCAT